GACGTTGTAACAAATACACAGATACGAACTGACCCATGGTGCAGAACCATTGTCTTTGGAGAGAGTGACGATTGCTTACGGCAGTGGCAGATTGGATGAGGGTTGTACTTACACTGCACGGCGAGAGGCATGGTTTTCTCCAGCGGGCTGCCCAGCGTCTCGTGCGTGATCCTGCAGGTGTACCTCGCCTGGTGGTCATCCTTAGACAGGGACGCAATCTGCAGGTCAAGGGTCACCTACGGGGGGGGGTCAAATTCGAGAAACGTTGGTCATTTTTTTTTTAATTTTTTTATTCCAACATGTAATCACCAGACGTGGTGACGACACACTCAAGTTTTTTTAACTTATATTAATGCCGCCACCAACACAGGGGACAAATACATGACAGGACAATACTCATTTACACCTGAGCTGAGTGAGGAAAATGCCTTTCCCAAGGGCACAAGATCGGTGGCATGTCAGGACTCGAACCCGGGACTCTAAGTTCCGAGTCGCGCACTCGGCCACTACGCCACACGACTCCACAACGTTGGTCATTGATGATTCAATGAATGAAAACCGATTGTATCCAGAAACGTGCCTATTTCTAGACCTAGATGGGCCAGGGTTAGGATTGGGTTCTTTTATATCCAGAAAATTGAGCATGTTACGTGAAATTGAGGTTTAAAGTTTGTTTCATTCAGATATCTTCATTAGATTTTTACGTACAATGGACACTGTTCTACCTAGTCCAACATAGATTACAGTAAGTTAGACATACCAAAAGTATACATGGAGTCAACAGAAAACTAAAACTCAAACACTGTGAACTAAAAGCCCCTCCAAAGGACCACATAATTACAGAACTGCAGTCGACACCTGAACACTTTTGAAGATCATAGGAACTGAAGTGTAGGAAACTATCATCTAAATGGGATGTTATAATGGGTTTCATTGGCAGAGCGAGACCCAAATACAAGTTCAGTCAATTGAGGAGTCAGCCTATGAATGATATTTGCTGGCGTTAAATTGTCTCTGTGATATAATTTCATGTACAGGTCAAATGGACAGTCAGTTCAAGGTAGGATTTCTAAAACTTACTTACTTCACTGGATAAAATCTGTATGGCTGCTCTTTTATGGAAATTCAACGTGACATTTTTCAGAACTTCCAAAGGGATTCAAAGGGAAAACTGGCTCAGTTAGATTCAGAATTTAACCAAGCGAAATTCAGTTTTCTTTCTTGGTATGAACGAATTGTGACTGGCCTTAAAAGGTTATAATTAGACATCCTGCAAATTTATATCACCGATACTCATAATTTATTGTTACTGTATAGTAAACTGTTCACCGGCGTCGCTTGATTTGATTTTGATTGATAGATCGATTAATTGATTGATTGGCAGGTTCGACCAGCATTAAAAGGCTAGACATTCTGCTAATCAATATCACAGGTATTCATAATTCATTGTTAAAGTTGATAAATTATTGGCTGATGTGGTGTGATTTGATTTTGATTGATAGATCGATTAGTTGATTGATTGATTGATTGATTGACAGCCTACCCGTGTTGAGTCCGGGAAAGGCGTGGGTGAAGGCCCCTGCGGTGTGACGTCAGTGTCCCCTCTAAGCCACGTGATCTGAGGCGCGGGCTTGCCGCCTGTAGTTGTACACGACAGCCGCAAGGGGTCCCCCGCGCGCAAAGGAGACTGGGAGTCCCAGCCGGTGATCTCAACGGTGGAAGGCGGCACTGGAAGGAAAGAAACAAAACATGGAAATCAGAGAAACAGTACATATATCAGTAAATACTTTAGATCAGTACATAGATCCAGTTTCTAGCCTGCTGAAATGTATTCTATGATAAATGTATCTTGGATGACAGACTGTTTCCAGGCCAGCTCCTTGGCTCCAGGTATAGCCTGGGTGCCAGACTGTTGCCAGGGCCAGTATACAGGCTAGGTCCTCGGCTCCAGGGGTAGCCTGGGTGCAAGGGCCAGTATACAGGATAGCTCCTCGACTCCAGTGCCAACATGCCCCTAAGGAAATTCTAACATAGCCCCACTGAGTTTGACCCTGAAACACTCTGGCTAAACACATGCCTAGCGCGCAATGGGTCTAGCATCCAGGCTATGATAGATGAAGTACTAGTATACACAGTTTCAATACATGGTAGAATTTCCTTCGGCCAGCTCTTTCATACATGGAGTGCACTTATGAACTACTGTCCCTAACTGAACGCCCTTCTCTATAAACTGAACCATTTTCGTGCTAGTCGGCAATGTGACATACGTACAGTCATTGGGATTTGAAATCTCGACCTTTAGGCCAACAGGCAGGATTACTTGCCACTAGGCCACACAAAAACACACAGAGAAGACACACTAATGAACAAACGACTATCGTGAGACTGGACAACAAAATACAAAGCCCTTTAAGGTACCATACGAAGTAAAGTCTGTTGGAGGACCTAATCACTCTAATGCACCTGGTATGGACAGACGACTATCGTGAGACCGAACAACGAAATACAAAGTGTGGCTAACTTCATCATTCAAACGCACCAGTATGCAGAGAATGTGTATTTAACGACAGCATTATCGGACATTGCTCATTAAATACGGCCCCTGTTGTCCGGTTAAAACCACATTAGTGGTTCTAGCGCAATCCGTCATACTCTACTACTGGATAATTTAAGACGATTGTTTGTAATACGGATGATTGATTGAAGAGGAGAAAGCTCTTGTGTTACGCCGAAAGGCGGTTATACCGGCTATACAGATACAGAAATATTGACCACAGGCAGGGACACCTTCATTCATTCATCTTGCTAACACAACCAGGAACGCTAAATCTAATACATAAAACTATACGTAACAAACAACATATGAAAATATACAATAAAAAGCCTGTAATGCAGATGATTGAAGAGAAGAAATATTGACCAAAGGCAGGGAAACCTTCATCCATTCATCTTCCTGTGGTTAATTATGATGGAATGAAGTGATTAGGGTAGAAATTGTGTTATCTGTGATTTCCTGGAGCTGGCGTTTTTATCGATCCTATAAAATCCAATTAACCCGGGAAGACTCGTTTTTATTGCGATTCCGCCACGGATGGGGAGATACAAGAAGGGAGAGTATATCAAAAGGGAGATATATATATAAAAAAATGACACAGAGAAGGCCCCACACCCCTCTGTCACCGAAAACAACCGGTAACATCCATTTTCGTTTTGCTTTCCCCTGTTTTCTGTTGTTCCCATTTGGTCTTTTTTGTTGGTATAAGGTCTAGACTTTACTAGGCTACGGAAAGTCCAACTACATGTACTCGGAGAGGTATAGCAAAAGGGATAGTATATTAAAACATAACACAGAGAAGGCCCCAATCATTACCGAAAATAACCGTGAAACATCCATTTTTGTTTTGTTGTCCACTGCTTTTTAATGTTTTTGTTTCGTTTGTTGTTTCTTTGGTTTATGGTCTAGACTTTACAAGGCTATGGAAAATCGGTCTGGGTTAGCGAAACAAAATATCAAATATCGAATTTTGGGAAAATATGGAGTCACAGGCTATTGAAAATGCATGAAAACTACACGTATTGCATAATTAGGCATTCAAGACAAAGTTCTTGGCTGTACCTTGTGCTTCTAAAGTATCTACCATTACTCATCGTGTTCATTTTTTTATCTTCGATATGATTTTGTTTCTATGCTTTAGACATAATCATGTTTGTAGTAAAGTCTCAATAATGGTACGAATACATGAAAAACAGTATCGACCATACATTGTAACATATCTTGTTCTAGTGTCCCCATCCTTTGACGAAATTCAGAACAGAAGGTTGGGAAATTTCACCTGTCAGAAAAGTAATCTATTTTGTCAGGCAAACTAATTAAAACGAGACCTGCCACAAACGAATGGGGAAGTTGATTTAAAACGTCGTAATTTTCTTTCATAGGAAATTCATTTTTCCCATTTGTGTCAATTTGGCAACTCTCCAACGAAGTTATTGACTTCATAATTCTATTTCCTCACTGTTATAGATGCCTTATTTCAACCTAATTACATTTCATAGAAAAAGAGTCGGAAAATTGTCCGAAGAAGCAACTAATTCCTGCAGATAGAATGGAATTTTGTGGACAAGTAAGCTATTTTCATTTCATTTTCCTCACATACCTACTTTTAGTAGATTTGGTGTATATACTTGATTGTAGCCGCCAAATCCTGAGAGGATAAGAATATCTAGATAAGAATTAGACGTAAATGATTAGAGGATAAGGATCAGGATTGGCTGTTTGACAAGCCTGGCATATCTCCAGCTTTAACATAAGACAGGATCCGATATGAACTATCTTCTTCTGCAATGCTCAATACTATCAGGCAATAAACCGTCATTCATATAGACTCTAGATCTTTACTTAAGGCGGACATTATTCCCATCATCCCCACATTTAGGTATGTATGGAGGGGCACCAATCAGTTGGTTGGTTGGTTTTCCTTTGATGCCCACGATCATGATAATGATCATTATGGCATTCTCATTTTCACCTGAGCGAAGTGAGAAAAGTCGTGTGAAGTGCCGTTCCCAAGGGCACAAGGTTGGTGACTTGGCAGGATTCGAACTCGGGACCTCTTGGTTCTGAACGGAATTCTCTGCCGTTATGCCACGCGATCCCACTGTTACTGGCTTACAAATACAATTCCTTGTTAATCTGTAACAATTTTACAAATTTGGTTGATTTTGTATTTAAAAAATGTGGTCTTTTAGACAATAGCACAGGCCTCTGCTCTTGAGTCTGTGAGATTGATTTTTACACGCCGAAAGTAACTGAAGTATCAACAATTACTGCTGATGTAATTACACCAACTTCTTATCGAATGTCCACTAAAGCCTGGTCCGGTATGGGAGTCAATAGCCAATAGTGGTCACCGGGGCATTTCTGTCCGTGTCCAGCAGGATTCGTCTAGACACCTAAACTCGATTTTTAGCGGCAAAGGACGTATCGGTCTTGTTAGCCTACACTGATCTAATTTGTTGTCTTGAAAGTCCATCTGTGTTGGTAGAAGACATAGTTTTAGACATAGTTATAGTTCCTGACAGCTACCTTTCATCGTGTAGACTTTAGTTATTTTATACTCTGTTTCAATGTTCTTTCATCTTTTGTACTGTGCAATTAGCTCTCCGGCACGAATTTGCTATAAACTTTTCATTATGAAGCAAGTTTAAGTGTAATTTCCAACCAAAAGAATTGGACCTAAATTTTCGCCTAATACTATACAACTTCAGTCTTTGTGTTGAACTTACAGTTTAAACTTCTTAAACTAATTTGTTGGATCTTGGATTTGACGCTGAAGTGCTGAAGAGGAACATCAACATGAAAATAGAGTCTGGGTGAAAATTTGCACGTTGCTGTACGTAGTTATAGGTAGTGAATGTCACAGTTTTAGGCACTGGATGTAGTTATATCACTTACCAATAAGCCACTCAGAGATAGGGATAGATTTGCAGCCATCTGGACTCAAAGCAAGGGAAACCAGAACTCGACATAAGCAAGCAAGTAAGAAAACCACCCGAAAACAACATGGATGGATAGACTGCGCAGGTGATGCATACAACTGTCAGATGCTAATATTCACCTGGGTATATAATAATGAGATTGGACCCCAGCCCTGCCCTCTTGGCACTTTTCCCAGTCGGTACAGTTTGACTGTAATAGCTTCCAGAAGGAAGACGCCTGTCCTCACCAAGGGTTGTGATAGAAAAGGACAAAAGCTACTAGGACTCAGCAGAATCGAACTAAATGATGTACAGCATGAAACTAGCTTGTGCAATGCTGGAAACATCTTAAACATTACATTCAGCGACAACAGAATTGACCTGCGATTTGATTCAATTCGGTGACGACTGGAAAGAGTAGAAATTGGCCAAATAGATTAATATCATGCCTGGAGAGATATTCAGCTAAAGAGTACAGTTTGCCGCTTTGGTCAACTGAACTTCTACTCTTTTTAGAGCCGCCTCTAAAGCCTGATAGAGGCTACGATCATCCTGCTATGCACGCGGTATACATACGCTAGCTATCGTATAACTCAACATTGAGCTGCTCAGTCTTATCTCTTTCGATTTCCCCCAGTAAAATTTATTGCCCCACTTCACGAGCGTCGCGCACTTTCCTCCGGGGAGCAGAGATACGGGATTCGTCATTTCCATGAGAAATAGCGTTTACAGTAGTAACTGATAACGGTGTTCACCGTTAGTCAGTTGTTACTGGGATGAGGTGTCCTCCCAACCTCCTGAGAGATAGCGACATTTCCATAAGAATTAAGCCGTGTAACCAGCGTGAAGGAACCACAGATATCTCTGCCTAACATCTACATATGCTGCTTCATCCTTCGTGTAGAAACGCGATATGCTGTTTCCAAATGTAACCGTGTATCTTTCACCAATAGACATGCAAATTGGACTTTCATAAGAGTTATAAAAGGTACCTCTGTGGCCTGAAGGCGTTTTTTCTTGGTATCTTTGAAGACAGCGTCAGCTATTATGCAATTCAGCCTCTCAAAACATTCTATCAAACTTAAACCTTTTCTTTATTCAAACAAGGCGTCTGAATTCGTTTTGATATCAGTGCCCATGAGTGCCCTTACGCTCACGTGACTACGACGTGAGTATTGTCCACCATATTGTATGGTTAACCTGGAAGTTTATATTCAGTGTTATTCAGAAAATCAGCCTCGCAGCGTGTAGAT